GAGTAACCCATTCCGAACCCTCAATGAATAACGGAGACTCGATAGAGAAAGTCTGCTGATACAAAATATATGGACTACGAAATGTTCTGTAAGGTACTTAATTCGCAGTTGGAGCATCTCAATTCTACCGGTAAAGCTGGTAATGCATTTACCAGGCACTATTTTCAACACAAGACACTCCCGTCGTCAATTCTGGGGATCTTTACAAGCTAGATGCTCCCTATGATGCCATGTTTTCGGTCATGGTATCTAAGCTCCTTGCTTGGTGCTATTCTTACTTTTTCTCTCCAAGCTATCTGGTAATCTCGCCAACTTCCAGATTGAATCGCATTATCTGGGGTAGTCTGGAGCTCCCTTTTATCCGTTTGTATTGACATTACTGAATATCCCGCTGTTATCATATCACAATACACTCCTCCAGTCAAAGATCCACGAGAAGTGTTAGGGACGCCGGAGATTTTAAAATCCAGGAGAGAGACAGAGTCGTAATAGTCATCATTGCAGGAGGTTTCTGATGACAGATAATCTTACGAATTCTTTCACACACTTACTCTTTGCAAACTTATACACTACCCTCGTGTCGCCATTACCCCGGTGTGAGTGGCACGGAGCGTAGCTAATAGTCTAATGCTGCAATCGGCATTGGAGTTACCCCGGTAGTTGTTCTTAATTCCGCTTGAAGCTAGCAGGCTCAGCTCATGGGAAGTGGTATTTTAGAGGTTTTGAAGAGGTAGATGAGAAGTGATTTATCTTGATTAAGAGTTCGAGTGATCACCTTAAGACAGCATGAGAGTCCAAGATGTCAAAACTCTTGCATGTAAGTGAAAGAAATGAAGCCAGAAAAGTTTAAATGAACATATTGCACTTGTACCACAGTGTTTGACTTGATCCAGAAGCTCTGATCTCAACACACGACACGACATAAATTCAAAATGTAACCTCGCACTACTTCTTGACTGATAGCTTATGGACTTGGGCATTATGTGTTACCATGATGGAGCACAGCATGTAGCTTCCCGCATATTTGGGACGACTTTCCGAGATATCCAGTTGAGTCCAAGAATTTACAACCTGCAAAAGCTGATTGAAGGGAATGAACGGGACACTCGGAATCAGAGCAGCAGACTTGACATGATATTTAGTAGTAGAGAAAATCATCTACTCGATCGGAAACTTTATGTCTATTTATCAAATTTTTATTCCCTTCAAGATGTGTTTCAAAGATCTTGAAAATATTATCTAGACCTTGAATTGCCATGACGGGAAGGTGCATCTCTCCGTTTGAGGTACCTAATGTAGGTATTTATTAGTACTTGAGATTGCACCACTTCACTTTTATTATCATTCCATCTCGACTGTAAAGCTTTTTTGTCACTTCAGATGCGTTTCTAAGATTTCTTTCTAGACACCAAACAAGTCATCATACAGTCCCGTCATTACGATTCACTTGTGCGCTTCACTCTCATCTCCAATCTTTCCTATACATCTGCACCTTTTCGGTCTCTCCACCACCCCTACAATTCACCACGATGATACATATCCGCGCATTTCCCTTCACTATCCTCTGTATCAGTATCCTCCTCTTCATGGTCTTTCTCAATACTTCCACACCTTCCTACTTAACGCACTATTCATCCACTCTTCTCCAAAAATACAGACCTACTCATGGATCTTCCGCTATTGGGAATAGTACACTCGGATTTCAGAAAATCTTCGCATTGGGGTTACCAGAACGAAGTGATAAGAGAGATGCTCTTACGTTGATTAGTAGTTTGACCGAATTCAAGATTGAATGGGTAGATGGAGTAAAGGGGGAATCGGTGACGGATAAAGCTGTGCCGTATGGTGCTGATAGAGTGAAATTGTGGGAGTCGAATTTGGGGAGTTGGAGGGGACATATGAATGCTGTTCGAAAGTTTGTCTCTCTCTTCCAGTGTCAAACATATTCTTTGCCAGGAATAAACTAACATAATCCTGCCGTCATAGAATTGTCGAACAAAATCTTACCAGCGCATTAATAATCGAAGATGATATGGATTGGGATATTCGTCTAAAATCTCAACTACTTACTTTCGCTGCTGGTTCTAAGTTTATCCAATACCCTTCAACCGCACCTACACACCTTATTTCCCCCTATGGCGATAACTGGGATTTACTCTGGCTCGGCCACTGTGGCGAAGTATTTCCCGAGACTCTCGATGAATATAAATCCCTCCCTCGTTCTTCTCCCCAAATCACACATCTCTCCCGAAAGTACATCATAACCTCCGATCCCACAGTCCCACCTCCCGCATATTTCAAAGGTTTCCAAAATGCCACGCAAAATCCATACACAAGATGGGTCCACACATCCGGAGGACCAATTTGCACATTCGCATATGCATTAAGTCAACAAGGAGCAAGGAAAGTCCTCTGGGATTTAAGTGTCGATAAACTAGCAGGACCATTCGATAATGCATTAGCGGGACTATGTCGATGGGGAAGAGATAAAAAGAGATTGGGAATGAGATGCATAAGTGTTACACCAGGGTTATTTCAACATCATAAAGCAAGAGGATGGATAGGTGGGGATTCGGATATTCAGAAGGTGGGTGGTGGTGGTGTTAAAGGAGAGGTGAGGGAGAAGGGAACGACGGAAAATGTGGTTTGGAGTGCGAGGATGAATGTTAGGGAGTTGTTGACGGGGGAGAAGGTCAGAGGTCAATGGGATGATGAGGGTGGAAAATAGATGAGTGGAGTGGAGTAGTGTGAAGTTTGGGGTTGTAGAGTGTTTATAGAGATATATATGGAGTGGTAGGAGTGTGTATTTGCATAGTAGAGGTGGAATGTAAGACTTATATTACATAGATAATTGTGTAGAAATTATTAAATCAATTCTTTTCATTTCATATAAATGAAGTAGAGGAAACTCGCTGTTAAAAATAATCTCACGATAATGTATAGCTCATTCACCCAAAACATTCACTCATAAATCCTCCCCGTCTACAACAAAGCTCATGAAATCACAAAAGAAGTTTCTGTAATCTCAACTCAATCTTGTATTATCTGATCTACTCTAATCTTTAATTGAAAATAACTATCTAGCTAGCTGTTGCTCTGAATTAATAGTTCTCTTTAAATGTGTTTTTTCTTTTTTCTTTTTTGGTTCTTGTGATTTTGGGATTCTTGGTTTCGGGGGGAGTTTGATTTGTGATGGTTATCATATATATAGATAGAAAATAAGGAAAAAGGAAGAAAAAAAGAAAAAAAGTGTGCGATAATTCACATCCCTCCCTCAGCTATTTCTTCTTTCCCACCCTTGCGTTTCCTGTCCCCCCCCCCCCCCCCCCCG